GAGAAGACTCAGAGGTAGCAGTGGTGAATGCCTTTTGAGCACCTACTCTAGTGCTGGGGCACTGTGCCACACACTTCCCATGCATTGCTGTCTCCTCTCTTGCCCCAGACAGCCCAGGATGGAGACACGTATCCCCAACTTCCATATGTAGCCTCTGAGGCTCACACAGTGAGTGAGAGGCATTGTTGAAATTGCAGACTTGCCCTGGCCAGGAAATGCCAGCCGGGAGCTACAAGCAACTGGGTGTTGAGCTCCAGATGGCTGGAGCTTCTGACCTGGGGTGTGACTGAGGCCTGGCAAGGACCCCTTCTGTACCTCTGCTCCTTCAGAACTGCGGACATCGGGACCTGCGGGTGGCTGGGAGCTTGGAACTGCATTGGGGCCAGGTACCAGTGGGAGGGAGTAGAATCAGAGAGCAGCCCCCGCGCTCTCCCTGCTAGCCTGTGAGGGAGCCGGACAGTGCCCCCTGCCTTCCCCTTCCCCCATGTGGGAATTCACTTTGTCCTGGAGCTGGAATACCTTGGCCTTTTTATTTATTTTTATTTTATTATATTATTATTTTTTAATTTGATGAAACTTTATTTTTTAAAACATTTTTTAAAATTAATTTATTTTTATTTATTTATTTTATCCTCATTCGAGGACATTTTTCCATTTTTTTGTTCAGATAGAGTGGGAGGGAGAAAGAAAGAGAGAAACATCAACGTGAAAGGGACACATCAAGTGGCCGCCACCCGCACAACCCAACCAGGGCCAGGGACAAACTGCAACCAAGGCACGTGCCCTTAGTGAGAACCGAACCCGGGTCTCTCTGGACTGCAGGCCGATGCTCTAACCGCTGAGCCAAACCGGCCAGGGCTTTCTTTCTTTTCTTCTTCTTTTTTTTTACGCTTGTTCCATCTCAAAGCACTTGCCATATATATGTCAGCCCTAGGAGGTAGCAATTATTGTTGCCCTTTTTTTGTGGTAAAATATATGTTTAGCATTTTAACCATTTTTAAGTGTACAGTTCTGTGGCATTAAGTATAGCAGGTCCTCAAATAAATGTTGTTTGATTCAACATTGTTTCATCATAATGTTGCCCTAGGAACTTAACTCTTGTTTATATTAATTAGCCTGTGGTAAAATTAGTTTCATTATGCACAGAACCTTAAAGTCACAGAACCTTTCTAGGATGTTAAGTCTTTTATTGTTACCTTTATTTAATGCTTCTGAGGAAACCAAAGTTCAGAGTGGTGATATTTGGCCCAGATCACAGATCACACAGCTAGTTAAGGGCGGACTAAGATTTGAACCCTGATATCAGAGTCCAGTTCTCTTTCCGGGATATCAGCTGCCTGCTGTCCTCTGTGAGACCTGAGCCCCACCCAAGGCTCCTGCTGCACTGGCAGCGCTAGTGTTTCCCGGGGCCCTGGGTGGGAGGTGGGAGGGCCCTCTGCTTAGCTTTCCACCTTGCTCAGAGACCTGACCTGCCTCTTCCTCCCACCCCTCTTTCCCTTCCAACCAACGATGATAAAACTTCCAGTTTCCTCCTTCCCTCCCTCCTTCTCTCCTTCCCTCCTCTCCCTAAGCCTTAGCAGCTCGTCTTCCGCAAACACACGTTGAATGTAAAGTCTGCAGCCAACCCAGGCAGACTTCTTCACGCCACACGTGCTGCTCTACTCCTGACACCTCTGAAGGCGATCAGGAGGAGCCGTGACAGCAGGTGGTGGGCTTGGGAGGGAGGTGCTGCCCCCAGGGGGCTGGGTGGCAGCCCTGCTATCTCCAGCCTCACAGCACTTATGCCTGCCTTCCCCTCACAGGAGGGTGGGCATGGTGGCACGGAGGCCAAGCCTTGCTGTTGTACCGACCCTGCCACCATCCACCCTCCAGGGCCAGGGGCCAGAGAACAAGTGCTTTGGGGACTGCTAAGGGCAGTTTCAGGCCAAGGTGGTTTTCACCTCATAATGACAGGTGATCTGAGAGGCCTTTTGAAGTCATCTGAGTGAACTTGCCAAGGAGGTACCTCAGGGGTGACCCCAGAGTATGTAGAAAGTCTGACTTGTGGGGCTCTCTGTGGCCACCTTCTGGGGCAGAACCCATACAGTCCCATTTTTATCTGTTTTATATATTGAGGTTTCAAGTAGTTTTTTGTTTTTCTTGCTTAAAAAAGGGGGGTTTAAAAAAAAAAAAAACCACTGACCTTTTTCTTTGGTGAGGACTTGTCCACAAGTTACTAGGGATTAGTGGCTGCCCCAAGACTGGGGCTCATTCTACTACAGGCTCTCACTTATTTGCTCTCTACTTTCATGGGGGAGGGAGAGATAGAAACCCCCCTTCGACTCTGGCCAGCCCCCCCCCCCTTAAGAGCACCCATGTGCAGCTCCCACACACCCTTGCATCTGCAGCTCACAGGCTCCCCAACACCTCTGATCTCAGCCCTCCTCTGTGTCTCTCGCTTCATCAGGGATGTCTGGGTGTGTGAGTGTCAGTGCTGTTACCACTCTGTGTGCATCTCACACTCAGGCTACTGCTACCTCAGCCCTGTCCCCAGGGAGGAAGGGGGAAAGCCAGGGGAAAGACAGACAGACACAGGAGCAGGGAAGTAGGGCAGCCATAGTGCTATGCAGTGAGATAGGGAAGTGGGAGAAAGAGACAGGGTGAAGGCAGGCAGAGAAGACAAGGAGAGAGAAACAAGAGAAAACCAGAGAGAGGGAGGGAGAGACTGGTCTGATGGGGATGGAGATGGGAGGAAGACCCAGAGAGGGGGCGATGACATATGGGCAAGGAGAGGGGGTACAAAGACACAAAGAAAAGATAGAAAGGTAGTTTGTGAGACAGACAGGAAAGGGGAGAGATGGAGACAGGTCTGACAGGAGACAAGAGGGCTATTAGCGACAAGGAAATGTCAGCAGCCCTGGAGCTACGGCCGTCACAGAGAGGGATGCAGGGATGCGCTGCATGCAGTCTGGCACCAGATCTGGCTGATAGATGCTGGGGGTCCCATTGCCAGCAGCCTGTCTCCTTCTAGAGCTGGGCCCAGCTTTCCTTCAAAGGAAAGTAATACCCTCCAGATGGGCTTGCTAGGGGGACCCCAGGGTTGTGGTATTGGAGGTGGCCTTGGGCTTAGGGCTTGCGCAGAGGCCGAGGAATGGATGAGCTGGCTTGCTCAGAACCTTCTGCCGGCCACAACTGAGGGCTTGTTTTGGACCTAGTAGATGGAGGGGACTCCGGCAGGTAGTAGATACAGCAAACGTTGGAGGAAACAGCAAGTCAAGAGGAGAACTGGTTCGATCTTGCCCTCCCAGGGTCAGGGACAAATAATTAGGGCTCCCATTGCACTGGCCCCAAATCTGTCCCCTGGTGCTGGCTGGTGAGAAGACTCAGGACAACTCTTCAAGTCCTAGACACTTAGGCCCCACCACACTGAGTCAGCTCCTCTCTGGCTCTAGACTGAACCTTTTCTTCCCCTAGTCAGGAGACAGGGCCTCTTAGGGCCCCTTGCAGCAAATTGTGGAGCAGAGATCTTAGGCCTGGGGGCTACAAGGGGGTGCCCTAGGGAGGGAGTGCCCGGGCCCCTTTTGTCTCTGGGTTCATGAGATTTTCGGCCACGCAGTTACACAGGCAGGTGAGGAATGGGGAAGTCCACTCACCTCTAGGCCTTTGCTGTCGTATCTGCAGAACAGGAAGAACCATCCCGCCCCGTGTGAGCATGAAGCTCGGCCATGGCCACGGTGTTCTCTGGGCAGTGGAGCGCTGGGCCAGCCTTGGGCTTGCCCTGGGCCCGTCTGCTGCGCAGCATGTTGCTGAGGGCCAGGAGACCCTCTGGAGCATTCATTTATTCACAGTCAATTATGAAGCACCTGTTAGGTGTCAGGCATTGTGCTAGGCGCTAGGAGACAGCAGTGACCAAGTCAGGTCAAGGCCCTGCCCCCATGGAGGTTGAAGGGCTATGAACAACATCAGTTCAGATGGCGATGAGCCCACTGAAGAATGTACATACACGACACTGACTCGGGGCAGGCGGTGGGAGGCTCTGAGGAGGGCTTTTGCGCTGTCATTTGAAAGGGCTGGAAAAAACATTCCACATGGCAGTGGACAGCTTGGTCCAAGGCCCGAGGTGGGACTGGGCTGCGTGTTAAGGGACCTGAAAGAAGGCCGGGGTGGCAGTGGTAGTGAGGCGGAGGAGGTCTCAGAGGGGCATGGCAGGACCTCACCCCCAGGCCTGGACTGCAAGGGCTCGGGAGGAGGGCACTGTTCTCTTAGGACCAGTGGGAGCCCATGGAGGGTTGTAAGTGGGGAAGAGCAGGATCTGACTGTTGTGTTTAAAGGCTTTCTCTGGCTGTTGTGTGCAGCTGCGGTCGTTGCAGGGAGAGAGAGGCCCATGAGGAGCAAGTCGTAGTGCCCAGTTGAGGGACATGGTGGTGGGGCCTCAGGTGGGGGGTGGGGGTGGAGCAGAAGGGACCAAGATGTCCTCCCTCCATACCTGCAGAGCACTGAGAGACTGCTCTGGGAAGTCCCTCCCAGTTGCCATGGATTAGGGGTGGGAGGGCAGGACTGGCTACTGGGAGGGAATGTGGCTTTGTGCTTGGAAAACAAAGAACAGAGCTTGGTGCCCTCTTCTCCTGGGGGTGGGGCAGGCCAGAGGAGAGGCTGTTGACTGGACCAGAGGCTGAACCACAGGGCTGGTCTGGGCAGGAGCAAGCTGTGCCCCCAGGCACTGGGGAGGACCCCAGAGCCCTCCAAGAGTGAACAGTGGGGCTCCCGCAGGGTGGTGAGGAAGGAAGACAGAGAGAGAGGGATGCTCAAACCCCTCCAGCCTGGAAGTCAGGCTGCTGGCTGCAGGGGATTTGGGCAGAGAGGGCCCTGGGCCGCGGCTTGGGAAGAGGTGTGTGTAACCGATGTGTCTGGGAGTGAATGGGGCTCCTGGGGGCTCTGTGTGAAGGGATGAAAGAGGTTAACCAGACCCTCTGGACTCTAACATGCTTGACTTGACTGAGCCACCCTGCCTCCTCCCCCAGCTGTGCTGCTGAAGCCCCACCCTCCCTGCCTTGAGGTGGGGGCCCACCAGGATGAACAAACTGTCCAGGGATTTGGCCTGTGACTTGGAACGCAGCCTGCCAGCTGTGGCCTCCCTCAGCTCATCTCTGTCCCACAACCAGAGCCTGTCCTCACACTTCCTCCTGCCACCTCCTGAGAAGCGCCAGGCCATCTCTGATGTCCGCCGCACCTTCTGTCTTTTCGTCACCTTCGACTTGCTCTTCATCTCCCTGCTCTGGATCATTGAGCTGAACGTGAGTGTGCTCGAGGCTGTGCTGGGGGGACACCTGGGCCTCAGTTACCCCACCTGCCACACAGGAGTGTTGATTTCCAGGTAAAATGAAGAATAGGAAGAAGAGTTGTTCCCACCTTCCAGAGAAAGAATGTGGTGCTCAGAGGGGTTGAGTTACTTGCCTCAGGTCTCTCAGCAAGCGTGGAGGCAGGATTTGAACCTACCTCCTGCTCCAGAGTTCACACTCTCAATTTCTGTAAAAGGAGGAGAGACCCCAAACAGCTCTGGTTGAGCTATTGAAACCTTTGTTTTCTTTCGGCCCTACATTGCTCTCTGGTTTCACTCACTCACTCACTCATTCATTCAACAAACGTTTTTTGAGCCCCTACTGTGTTCCAGGCACTGTGCTAAAAGCAGAGGGTACAGTGGGGAGCAAACCAGTAAAAACTCCCAGTTCTCAGGGGCTCCCAGCTCTCCCTCTCCATTTTGTTCATTCTTTTTTTTAAATTATTATTTTTTAATTAATTTTTGTTACAGATGTTTCTCCTTTTTACCCCTTAGACACCCTCCTCCCAATTGGACACTCTTCTAGAACCCCCCAGTTCGGCCTCTGGGTTTGGTGAGATGCCACCTAGCAGCCTGGAGACGAAGCTGCCTGTCAGTGTCGGGGTGCACAGCCCTCCCGCTGTGTAGTGCTTGGCCAGCTGGCAGGGAGGCCTGACCTCTAGGCACTGACAGGGCAGAGCGGGGCCTGACCATGGAGGCAGGAGCTGTGGGACCAGGGCATCCCGGACTTGGTCCTGTCCCAGCTCCTCCTTTGTTTTTCTTCTGTAAGTGGGTCCGAGTTCTGGATGGCAGGTGCCCTTCCTCTAGGTTTTCAAGCTCTGGTGACAGGAAAATGATGACTTGGTGGATAGAAGCGAGGAGTCTGGAGCAGGGGCTTGCTTGAGGGTGAAGAGGACAAGTTGGTTCTGGGCATGCTGACTGGAGGGCACCTAGGGCTCTGAGGGTGGCTCTCCTTTGTGCACAGAGAGGAGCTGGCACCTTCAGCTAGATAGAGCCACAGTCACGGGGGACCTTGGGGACCATCTTACCAATAAATTGAGACCCAGCAAGGTTCAGGGCGGTTCAAAGAGTTTCCAAGGTCTTAGTATTCTCCCTTTGTAAGGTCGCATCCAACACCAAAGCAAGCACTGAATTTCATCTACATCCTTCATTCAACATATATTTTCTTGCCAGAAAAGAGTTGAAAATATTTTGATAATTTTACTTTTGAAATTACCTGGTTGTGTTGGCTGTAACCGCCCAGCAGTCATCAGGCATACGTGGGAATTCTCGCAAAGTGAGAAAACCTAACCTCCAAATTGTTTTCCTTTTTAAATTTTTTTTCTTTATTGATTTTTTAGAAAGAGAGGAAGGGAGAGGGGGAGAGAGAGAAACATCGATGAGAGAGAACATCGACTGGCTGCCTCCTGCATACCCCCCACTGGGGATCAGGCCCACAACCTGGGCATGTGCCCTGACTGGGAATCGAACCCACGACCTCTGGGTGCATGGGTCGACGCTCAACCACTGAGCCACACCAGCCGGGCCAAATTGTTTTCAGATGTAATGAAAAATTTCAGAATGCTGGATTTTAGTAATTATAACATAATTGTATAACATAATGCTTCACTTGGTAGACACTTAAAGTTTTATTAATTTTCAGTTTCGCAGTTTTATTTTTGTATTTTGGAGCGTGTATATTTTTAGTTTTCTAATAGACTGTGTATTGCCCAGTGGCTGTAAGGATCCCAGCAGGGTCTTGGGTCTTGTTGCCAGAGACTGGCAAAGCGGGGACTGGAGCCCAGCGCTCCTGAGTCCTGATGCAGTCAGCGCGGGCAGGTGCCTGGGCTGGGGGAGAGTTCTCTGTGAAGAGAAAAGGTGGAGGGCAGAGCTGTGAGGCACAGCGACTGTTAGGAGTGTGAGGGGCTGTGGAGCCCAAGAAGGAGCAGTCTGAGGAGGAAGAGAAAGGCCTGGGTGGGGTGGGGTGTCAGGCCAGGGCACGGGAGTGCCAGACTTCTTGGGGATCAGGGTAGTCTGGAGGTAGAGGCGTGTGGTGACGTGTAGGGGAGTTGAGGGGCGGATTCTAGTGTCAGTAGGGGTGCTATCCAGACTGCTGGCTCCCTGTCTCAGCCCCAGAATCACCAGGAAGCTTTATAAAGATTCCAGATGTTCAGCTTATCCTAAGATTCAGACTCAAGTGGTCTGAACATCTCTATCTTTAACCAGCCCTGCCACCCCCAAACTCAGATTATCTGCCAGAGATTAGAAGCCCTGGTCTAGGTGGTGTTGACGGGTCTTCCCCCTCAGGCTGCATTCTGGCTCTCCACACCCATCCAGGCCGCATCTCTCCTTAGCCAAGGTCTTAGGGGTCCCATCGAAGTGTGTGGGTGGCTAGGGCAGGTCTGCTTACTCTCCATGCTGTCCTCTCCAGCATTGTGATGGATTTTGCCCATTAAGCACAAACCTAATCAATTGATTCGCCACCTGGGGCTCTGTCTGACACCACTGCCCACCCTGGCCCCCGTCACCCCCAGTGGATGGTTGACTGGGAAGATGGAGCACCGAAGCGCTGGGAGGGAGATGAAATTATGTGGGGCAGGCTCCCAGCATCCTGTCTGTGAGTCCTACCCACTGATACGGGCCCAGTGCCTCCCTTGCATGGCCCTGAGGCCTCCGTGTGCTCCTGACAGGGCGGTGTGCCCACAGTCATCAGTGCTGAGCCCTGCTGGCCTGGGCTGCCTGGACGCTTGGAGGGATGGTGTTCATGCTGGGGTCCCTTGGCTGGTGGCTTAGCATCTACAGCCTGTTCCAGACCCCACCCTCCCCCTGCCTGCTCCCCATTCTGGAAGGTGAGGGGCAGCCCCAGGGACTGGTTTGCATCTTCCTCTTCCAGACCAACACAGGCATTCGGAAGAGCCTGGAGCAGGAGATCATCCACTACAACTTTAAAACTTCCTTCTTTGACATCTTTGTGAGTGACCTTAGGGTTCTGGGAGCGAAGAGGGAGCAGGGACATGACTGACTAGACTCTTTTTAACTGCAACACATATTCTAACCTAGCAGGGCGACTCTGCTCCCATCCTCAGGGAGCCCTCAGTCTTGATAAAGGTTCCTAAATGAGGTCCCACCTTCAGAGAGCCCCCAGTGGGAGGGGGAAGACAAGATTTGGGTCCAGGAAGGTCACATCCCCAAACACTGACTCAGCTGTTCTCTCCCAAGGTGTGCACACCATGTGAAGGGAACCTGGGGGCGCGGGACTGGCAGGGGAGGTCAACCTTGAGCAGGGATCGGGGCATTAGCTTGCCTGTGATGGCTCCCCCACCCCCCTCAGGTCCTGGCCTTCTTCCGCTTCTCTGGACTGCTCCTGGGTTATGCGGTACTGCGGCTCCGGCACTGGTGGGTGATTGCGGTAAGATGCCACTTTCCGGCAGCTCTGGGGCCCTGGCGGGGCTGGTGCAGGGGGTCAGATGGAGAGGACTGACTCCCCAACCTGTTTTCCCTCTCTTCTTCCTCCCTTCCCCTGGGTAGGTCACCACGCTGGTGTCCAGCGCCTTCCTCATTGTCAAGGTCATCCTCTCTCAGGTCAGTGGCTCAGGGTCTGGCTGTTCTGGTGGGCATCTGGCCTAAGAGATGGGCTTCTCCTAAGAAGGAATAATTTCTCTGATTTGGGGTGTCTGGGTTGGGGTGAGGGGGTAACCTCTCCTTTGATATTCTAAGGAATCATCTTCACTGGCTTCCCCCACTCGTCCCCCTGCAATTCCAAGAACAGAAAGTTCTTCCTCCAGCCTAACCTCAGTTTGTCCTGCTACAGAATTCATTAATCCTTCTCAGAGGCATGTGCCGCAGAGAGTCCCCGAGCAGCTGGTACCAGGAGTGGGCTATATGCCAGAGTTGGTGGTCCCAGGAGGGGGCCCTGCTCTGGGTTCGTGGTGACCTCCTGTCACCGAGCTCAGCCCCCTCTCTCCACAGCTGCTCAGCAAAGGGGCATTCGGCTACCTGCTCCCCATTGTCTCCTTTGTCCTTGCCTGGTTGGAGACCTGGTTCCTTGACTTCAAAGTCCTACCCCAGGAGGCTGAGGAGAAGCGATGTGAGTCTAGGGGTCAGGGGAGGCGGTGAGGGTCATTTCAGCCCTAAGAGAGGAGAATTTCAGGCATGAGAGCCATTTCTGAGCTGTCTGCCAACCCGAGTAGCTTCCAGGAACCTAAGAGTGAGCCCAGGGCAGGGGGACCTCAGGCTGCTGGACTGTCCTCAGTGTGGGATCGTGACTGCCATGTTTGCTCTCCCAGGGTATCTTGCTGCCCAGACCGCTGTCGCCCGAGGACCCCTACTCTTTTCTGGAGCTCTGTCCGAGGGCCAGTTCTATTCACCCCCAGAATCGTTTGCAGGTGAGGGCTGGTGGGTGGGGAACTGTCTTCAAAGAGGGGCTTTGTGAGGAGTGGGGTAGGCTGGGTCTGTTCTTTCTGCTCCTCCTGTGTTCTCCCTGGGGAACGCCAGCACCCTCTCCCACACACACTTCCATCCATATCCCCACATCCTGATTTGTACCTGACCCCACTGCCTCCCCACCTCTTCCCATTGCCACCTGTGTGTGTTTCCTGCAGGGTCTGATAATGAATCGGATGAAGAAGTTGTTGGGAAGAAAAGCCTCTCTGCCCAGGTATTTGGCTGCCCACCTTCACCCTACCTTTGGAGTGGGCACCCCAGAGAAGGGCCAGCGCTGGGCTGAGTCACGGTGGGCAGGGGCTTCCCAGCAGAGGGTAGACCTCAGCAGCTTGAATGCCAGCCAGCGCTCATTTGAGTGTCAAGCCCACTGTCTGTCAGACCCACGGGTCTGCCTCGTGCCTGGGAGCCAGGGGGCGGAAGCCCCAGCTCCTGGCCCCAGAACCTCTCAGGGCCTGGGAGACCAGCCCACACCCCATGTCTGGCTGGGTCAGGCTTCCATGGCAGATGTGTGGAGTGTCTCCAGAAGGACAAAGTGGGGTGAGGTCCCAGGCTGACCCGCTCCTGCCTTTCATCCCTGACCAGGAGCGGGAGTACATCCGCCAGGGGAGGGAGGCCACGGCTGTGGTGGACCAGATCTTGGCCCAAGAGGAGAACTGGAAATTCGAGAAGAATAATGTAAGAAACCTCTCTGCCACCTGACCCACCCATGTGTGTTGGAAGTTTTTGCTCCCTTTTCTGAGGCCTGAGAAATAAGCCCAAAGATTACATGGGTTGGAACCATATTCCTGCTCCAGGAGAGGGGGCTGGGCTGGGGTTAGCCTCTTGGCAGGAGGTCAGACTGGATTGGATGTTTCCACTGCCCCCCCACCCCCCATTATACCGCCTTCCCTCTCATCTCCCTGCTGCTCTGATTCCTAGGCTCAGCTTTGAAGGGGAAACTAGGCTTCTGCCATGTCCAGTGTTTTGTTTCATGATCAAAACAATATTAATCTAAAAAGATGGCAGAGAGCTTGGAAAACAGAGGGGAAACATCCCTGTCCCTTCCTCTGGCCAGTTCCTCTGGCAGCCGTTGTCACCTGGACAACTGTGCTCCTGTCTTTTAACTTGATATCAGAGCCCTTTCTCTCCTTATTGCTGGACATTTGTCAGAACCACTGGTTTTGGTTTTTGTTTTTTTTAATTTTCCCCCCTTTATTGATTTTAGAGATAGAGGAAGTGAGAGGGAGAGAGAGAGAAACATCAAAGTGAAAGAACATGGATTGGCCGCCTCCTGCGTGCTCCCCACTAGGGATCGGGCCCACAACCTGGGCATGTGTCCTGACGGGGAATTGAACTGGCAACCTCTTGGTGCATGGGTCGATACTCAACCACTGAGCCACACCAGCTGGGAAAGAACCACTGTTTCTTTTTGTTTGTTTGTTTGTTTGTTTTTTTATCCTCACCCAAGGACACTTTTTTTTTTGCATTTATCTTCAGACAGAGCGGGAGGGAGAGAGGGAGGAAGAGAGAGAAACATCAATGTGAGAGAGACACATCGAGTGGTTGCCATCCACACAACCCCAACAGGGGCTGGGGACAAGCTGCAACCGAGGTATGTGCCCCCAGCGGGAACCGAACCCGGGACCCTCTGGTTTGTGGGCCGACCGCTGAGCCAAACTGGCCAGGGCAGGAACCACTGATTTTTAATGGCTGATCAGATATCCCCAGACTCCTGGAGTTTTCTTCCCTGAGCTGTTAGAAACCTGAAGGACCTGTCACCTATTTCTGAGCCACCAGCCCACCCCCATGCCCTCCCTGCCCACCCACCTCCCTCCACTCTTCTGTTCCTCCCGCAGGAATATGGAGACACTGTGTACACCATTGAGGTTCCCTTTCATGGCAAGACATTCATCTTGAAGGTGAGTGAGGGATTTGGGTGTTCTGGAGTGTCCTGGAGCCTCCTGCCTCATCTGGGACTCCAGAGAGGGACTGAGGGACACTCTGGCAGATTTCTCCCCACCCAGCCCTCTGCCTGCCCTGCCCCAGACCTTCCTGCCCTGCCCTGCGGAGCTGGTGTACCAGGAGGTGATCCTGCAGCCCGAGAGGATGGTGCTATGGAACAAGACGGTGACCGCCTGCCAGGTGAGCCTAGCTAGGAGGCCTGGCCTGGCCACTCCTCAAGTGACATGGCAGGTCAGCGCAGTTGTGCCCTAGCATGAGCAGTTACCCCAGGCAGGGGACGTAGGTCATATCACTGAACTGCTCTGTGCCTCAGGTTCCCCATCTGTAAAGGGGTGATGGCAGCAGTGTTTCCTGGAGAAGGTTGAGGAAAGGGACAGAGCGCCTGGCCCAGCCCCATGACTGGGAATGCCTGTTAGTAAAGGGACCTGAGCAGGGATAGAGCAGGCTGGGCTGTGGGTTCCCCTGGCTGCACCTGCCTCACGTCTCCCCTAACGGCCCACAGATACTGCATCGAGTGGAAGACAACACCCTCATTTCCTATGACGTGTCTGCTGGGGCTGCGGGCGGCGTGGTCTCCCCCAGGTGAGTAGCCACCACATCCCTCCTCTCAGGCAGGCCTCCTGCTCCTGCATCTTGGGCTTGGAACCCCCTGACCAAACCCTTCCTCCCCCAGGGACTTTGTGAATGTCCGACGCATCGAGCGACGAAGAGACAAATACCTGTCATCAGGCATCGCTACCACCCACTGCACCAAGCCCCCAACACACAAATACGTCAGGTGAGCCTTGCCTTGCCCATGGTCATCCCAGCCAGCCCCTTCCTGGGTGGCTGTGAGGACAGGGCAGGGTACAGTATGTACAGCTGGGGACTTTCTCCTGCTGAGGTTGCCTTCCGGTCCCCTGTCCCACTGGGCTTTGCCCTTCCCGGCCCCTAGCCCTGCTAAACAGCTGCTCTGCGTGCTGAGACTGGGGGTAATGTCTGGACCCACTGGACCCTCTGTGGAGAGCAGCTCCAGGGTAGACCGGGGATGGGGCCAGCCCTGGGTGACCTGAGCAGGAGTTCCTTTCCCTGTCCTGTCCCTGTCCCACTACCTTGCCGCTCTGGAGTGCTCGGAAGGCCCGCTGAGGAAGTGGAGTCACACTGTCCCTGCAGCCTGTTGCAAGCCTGCTGCAGTTCTCCTTCTGTCTAATCTTAGCCTCTGCCCAGGTACCCCACCCTTCCCCTTCCTTCCTGGGTGCTTTGGATCAGACTGGGGCTCTGGTCCTGGCACTACCACAGACTTGCTGGGTGACAGGCAAACACATTTCCTCTCGGGCCAACTTCCTACCTATGGAGTGGGTTAAGAGTGCTCCATGGGCTGTGGGGAGATTTAATGGGGTTGGGATGTGAATAGAGCCCAGGCTCTGCCCACCTCCTGAAAGGGCACCCCCTCCTGGAAGCCACTAGCACTGCACTGCACGGCTCCCTGAATTGGGCAGGGGTGAGAAGTACCCGCCCAGCCCACCCCTCACAGCTAGAGTTGACCTAGAATCACTGGACAGGCTAGCTGAGGGCGGGAGAGTGGGCTGTGCAGCCATCTGCAAGCTGTTGTAGGAGTGTTCCAGCGTCACAGGGTGGGTGAGGGTGGACAGCTCTGGCCTCTGGTCCGGCAGGGTAGCGGTTGCTAGACCAGCAGGTCCCTTCCCTCTTCCACCCTTGTCCAGATGGGCCAAGAATGGAAGGGGGCAGGTCAGGGGCCCTGCCTGGCTCCACAGTCCCCCCAGTGGTGCCTCTCTTCTTAGGGGAGAGAATGGTCCTGGGGGCTTCATCGTGCTCAAGTCGCCTAGTAACCCCCGTGTCTGCACCTTCATCTGGATCCTGAATACAGATCTCAAGGTGAGGGTGCTGGGGCTGCAGGGCAGGCTGGGGGCGTGGAGGGGCTCTGCTGTGTGATTCCGGGGGCTCCCTGCCCTGCCTTCCACCTCCTTTCTTTCTCTCAAATTTGGGGCAGGTCTGGAGGGTTCTGTTGCCCTCACTTACTGGAGGGCCTGAGCTTCTCGTTTCATCCCTCTGACTCCAGAGGCCCTATGGAGGTTTGGCTGACTGCCAGCCTAGCCCCTCCCGGGTCTGTTTGTGTGGACGGTGCCAAGACCTGGGCACAGTATGTTCTTCCTGCCAGGGGGAGGGGGGAGGTGGGCCGAGGCTGCATTCCAGAGCTGCACCTGCATTCTGGCCCGGAGCACTCCTTGCACGCGTGTGGTTGGGGGAGGAGCCCTGCTGAGAGCGGGCTGCCCTGGAACTAATTCCTGCCTTCCCCAGGGCCGCCTGCCTCGGTACCTCATCCACCAGAGCCTCGCAGCCACCATGTTTGAATTTGCCTTTCACCTTCGGCAGCGCATCGCAGAGCTGGGGGCCCGGGCATAGCCGTGCCCCCTCGCCACCCTGAGGGCCAGGGTTCTGTCGACATAGCCTCCAGAGCCAGAGGGGCTGTGGGGCTGCCCACAGAGGACCTGGCCTCAAGCGTAGGAGGACGTTTCCTCCCATAGCAGCCCCTGGCTCCAAGCTACCATGCTTCGCTGAGCCTGAGCCGCAGCCATGAGCAGGTCGTGGGGTCAAGCGTCTGGACTCCGGGGCTCTGCCACTTAGGCAAGTGGAGTCCGTCCTGATGTTTACATGGCGTCTCTGCCTCGTGGAAGGGGAGCTCCCCTGTCCCCTGCCTAGCGAGGGGCAGGGTCTGGAATGGGAGCCTCAGGCTCAGTGGGTGAGGACCAGGGCCCTGGGCAGGATGGAGGCCAGAGCAGCCTTGTCACCAGTGTTACGGTGCGGGAGCCCCTTCACCTGCCTGCTCTCTCATCACAGTTTTTTGGAATTATTTAAAGGGTCTGGGACCTTTTCCACATGTACTTGCAGGTGGGGATGGTGGGTGCTGTCAGTGAATCCCTACCTCTCCCAGATCCTCTCCCTCCCCCCAGGGCCTCCTTGGGGACCTTTTCATTTGAGCCAGTTAAAAACAAACAAAAAAGAAAAAAGCATCCCTTCCAGCCTGACCTCTTGAGGGAAGGGGAGGCTAGCACTGTGCTGGTGGGGAAGGAGTGAGCCACCACTGTGGCCAGATACATGGCACATTCACACCCTGGAGCCAGTGGGGACTCAGTTCCTGGGACCTGCCCCCCCAACACACACACACCCTCCTAATATACACACACTTTCCAGAATGGTTCAGCTGGGCAGATGACTGGTCAGAAAAAATTGCCCCACCCCCTGCCAGACTTCCTGTGAGAGAAGGTCAAGTTAAGGTCTCCAGTCCAGGATTTGGGAGGAAGTAGGAGAGACCCAGCAGTGCCCAGAGCAGGCCCTGGCTATTTCTGGGGTCCCGTGATCAGCAGGGGGCCCGGAGGTGGGGCCTGGCCTTCCTGGTCACTGAGGCACCTCTGGGGTCTCTGCTCTGCTCACATGCCCCCTCTGCCCTGCCACACTCACCTAAGTCAGATCCTAGGCAAGAGCCAGGGTGGTGCCCCCCTCCCTCCCTGCCTGAGGCTCCCAAAGGAGCCAACTCACTCAAAGCCGGAGGGGCCCATCTTGGTCCTGGCTGCAGTGTGACCCTGAGCAAATCTGTGTCTCGGTCTCTAGTTCCTGCTTCGTGGAAATGAGATTTATTATGTCATAGGGTTATTATAAGATTAAAAGATACCGAGACTCAGGTATAGTGCCTCAGTAATCAAGAGTATGCAGTTCAGCCCTGGCCAGTTTGGCACAGCAGTTAAAGTGTCGGCCCGTGGACTGAAGGATCCTGGGTTTGATTCCTGGTCAAGGGCACATACCTGTGTTGCAGGTTCAATCCCCAGCCCTGGTCAGGGTCGGGGGGGAGGCAACCAATTGTGTCTCTCTCGCATCGATGTTTCTCTCTCTCTCACTCTCCCTTCCTTCCACTCTATCTTAAAAAAAAAAAATCAATGGAAAAATATCCTCAGGTGAGGATTAACAAAATAACTAACTAAATAAAGAGTATGTAGTTCAGCCCAGCCAGTGTGGCTCAGTGAGTTAAACGTTGTCTATGCACCAAGAGGTCACCAGTTTGATTCCCAGCCAGAGCACATGCCCAGGTTTCAAGCTCAACCGCCACTGGAGGGCATGCAAAAGGCATCTGTTCTCTCATCAGTGTTTCTCTCTCCCTCTCCCTCTCCCTCTTCCTCTAAAAACACACCAAAAAATCAATAAAAATATATTTTTAGCCCAGCCGGTTTGGCTCAGTGGTTGAGTGTCGACCCATACATCAAGAGGTCCTGGTCAGGGCACATGCCCAAGTTGTGGGCCAAATCCCCCGTGGGGGGGCATGCAGGAGGTGGCTGATCAATGTTCTCATCGATGTTTCTATCTCTCCTCCTGTCCTCTCTCTCTCTAACATCAATAAAGAAAAAAAGAAAAAAAAATATATATAAAGAGTATGCAGCCCTGGTCGGTTTGCCTCAGTGGTTGGAGTGTCGGCCTGTGGACCTGGGTTCAGTTCCTGCTAGGGGCACATGCCAAAAAAAAAAAAAAAGTATGCAGTTCTGCCCCAGGTGGGTACCAGCTGTCCCCACAAGCTCCTGGTACTCTTTGCATTGTCCACCCACATTCCTCATCACCCCCCCTCCCGTGCCCACCACCCTGTGTGCCATCTTCTTGCACCATGAGTTGCTGCTCTTGGGTGCTGGGCTGTCCCAGCAGCCATCCTGCCATCCTGCTCCCCGTGAACGAGGGCCAAGCCCTGCCCAGGTAGCACATTGGAGCTGGCAGGCCCCAGATCTCTGGTCAGCCTGTTGTGACCAGAAAGTGGGGAAAATTAAGCCCAGAAGGGGGCAGGGACTGCTCCAATGTCACATCCATTAATGGCTGATTTGAGACCCGAGCCAGATCTGCTGACTGCCACTCATCAGAGCCCCTGGATTGCCACCTCACCCCACTTCACCCCACTTGGGTACTGGAATAGAGCTGGGGGCCACTCTCACACCTACTTGCTCCACCTTGGCTGCAGGGTTTGGGAGACCACTTCTCTGACACTGGCCATAGGGAAGGAAAACACCTGGCAAGGGTTCGTGCCCAGGCCCCCAGGGGTGTTGTGGTGGCAGTGGAGAACTGGGCCTTTAGATGCAGACACCTGAGGGTGTGGCCACATTGCACTGTTCCTTCCTGTGGAGGGGCACGGTTGGGGGATGTGCCCTTGAACCCAGGCAGAGGAGAGCCATGGGGGAGGAGGGGGTTGACTGCCTGGTACAGAGCTGAGAGGGGCCTCAGTGCCTGCACTTTCCTGCTGTTTACAGACAAGCCTCTGTCCCTGGGTGAGGGGAAAGGGGTGGGGCAGAGAGTAAGTGCCAAGGTGGCACGAGGCTGGGCATGTGCCTGGTCTCACAAAGTGTCTGAGGAGTGTCAGACACCTGGAGGTGTGCTCTGAAGACCCCTGCCCCCACCAGAATGTCTTGATCTCTTCGGAAGCTGACCTTCGACTTGGGGCCAGCCAAAATCCAGGTACCCCAGCCCCCACCCTGGGCCCAACGTCCCCTATCAGAGTCTTGGCTCTTCTTATGGCATTTGACACCAGAGGGGCTGAAAATAGCCCCTGGAGGAGGAGGAGGAAGGGCTATTTAAAGGGCCTGGGAGGAGCAGAGCTGAGGGAGTGAGGCTGATCATGGCCACTTCTGAGCTGAGCTGCCAGGTGTCTGAGCAGAACTGTGAGCGCCGAGAGGCCTTCTGGGCTGAATGGAAGGATCTAACACTGTCCACACGGCCTGAGGAGGGGTGAGTGCTGGCCAGCTGGGGGTCCCTCCTCTCCTCCCCTACAGCACCCTTCCAGAGCCTTAGGAGGCCAGAGCACAAAGTTTATGGGGGTGGGGCAAGGAGAGTGCCCACCAGGCAGAGTGAGGTGGGGGTCACTCCTGCACCCAGGGGGTCCCCTTCCCAGCCTGTGAGTGGAGGGCAACAGCCCTTAGGATCTCAGTGCCCCGTCCCTTTCCCTTAGGTGCTCCCTGCATGAGGAGGATGCCCAGCGGCATGAGACCTACCACCGGCAGGGCCAGTGCCAGGTGCTGGTGCAGCGTTCCCCCTGGTTGGTGATGCGTATGGGCATCCTCGGCCAAGGGCTGCAGGAGTACCTGCTGCCTTACCAGCGGGTACTGCCACTGCCCATCTTCACCCCAACCAAGATGGGTGCAGCCAAGGAGGAGCGTGAGGATACCCCCATCCAGCTGCGGGAGCTGCTGGCACTGGAGACGGTCCTAGGTGGCCAGTGTATGGAGCGCCAGGACATGGCGGAGATCACCAAGCAGCTGCCCCCTGTGGTACCTGTCAGCAAGCCAGGCACCCTTCGTCGCTCTCTGTCCCGCTCCATGTCCCAGGAAGCACAGAGAGGCTGAAAGGGACTATGACTTCACTGTGCCCGCCCTGGGCTGGGCCCTTCCTGGCTAGGACCATGGAGGGGAGCTGCTGGCCATGGATGCTTCGTAGTTTGCCCAGAGTTGGGGGCTAGGGGAGGAGGGAGCCAGAGGCCAGGATGCCTGGGTCCCCTGAGTTCCCAAAGGGTAGGGAGCAAAGACAGTGGGCATGAAGTGTGGAGAGCTAGGGGCCAACACAGCTGAATACCCTGGCCCCAAGAGAAGGGACAACAGATGCTGATGAGGGAAAGAGGTGCCTGAGGGGCCATCCAGCTTCAGAGGACGAGAAGTGTAAGGAGATCTGGAATGCTCTGGGAAAGAGGCTCGGAGAAGACTGGAGGGAGGGGATGTGAAGAGGGCAGAGGCAGCGTAGAGCCCCCAGCACCCTGTTAGTGCTGCAATAAATGCTCAGTCATGTTCGTTTCATGTCTCTCCTTGCGGTTGTGGGGGCCAGCGCATGGGTGTCACCCTGACCCCCATGCTAACTTCTGGAAACAGGCTCTGCACCTGGACTAAATATGGCAGAGCTAGGGGTACACCCCATATTGGGGGGGTGAACAGAGCTGTAAACAGGGACTGTCTGTCCAGTTCCCCTTTGTTACTCTGACTGCTGTGCAGTCCTGGCCTCCATGGCCAGTCCCCTGGCACAGGGCAGTGCCCAGGAGGCCAGCTGGCATCAGGGTTGTTTGATCTGTTGGCAAATATGGAGGGAGCTGGCACTAGGACTGTCCTTGGATGTGCCTCAGTGTGTGGATAGGGTCAGTGACCCCCCTCGCCCTCAAGGCTGACCTGCCTCAGTTCTGAATCCAGACAAAAGCAATCCTTGGCTGGGGTCAGGTGCTCCACCCTCCCTCTCCTGGGAGCCCAGGGTGGGTTGTCGAGGGTGGAGTGGGGGGTCAGGTTCCTGTCTGTGACTCCTGCAGCTGTTATGGTGACTCATGTTCCAACCTGGCCGCCTCCACCAACAAGGAGACACTTTCCCCTTAGGACAAGGGGGGGGGGGGGTGGAGGTGCACGGAGCAGGGCAGGGGATGGTGGCCTGCCCAGGGCAGAGGAGAGCTGGACTGACCCAGAGGGGTTTCACTGGAGGAAAAGCGTGTACATGGCCCTGCAGCATCCACTTCCTGTTGGGAGTTTAAGAGGAGACCTTGGCCTCTTGACAGCCTGGTCTCTGGAACCCCCAGGAGGACCTGCAGGCCTGGCCTAGCCCATTTCCCCAGAGGGGGCAGGAGTGTGGGCTGGGAGAGGAGAGGGGTTAGAAATCCAAGACCCACGGGACCCCAAATCCCTTGGCGCCGGAAGGCTGAGACTGCGCCCCCTGGTGGCCCTGGCAGCCTGGAGAACGGTCCTGTGCCCTTCCGTCCTCACCTGGGTCCCGCGCCCGCGACGTGGCTGGAATGTCCCGAGCCTTTCGGCAGCCCCTCCCGCCCCCCCTAATTGGCTCTGAGCCCGCAGGGCCGGTAGGGGAGATCCGGCTGTTCCACCCGCTAAGTACATTAGTCCCTGTCGCCTTCTCTATCGCTGCTGCCATCGGACGGGTGGGGCCTCGGGGCGACTTTTGGTGGAAGCCAGAACGGACTGTCCTTTCTGCAGTGGGGTGAGTGGGGGTGCTGGAGGACGAAGGTGGGGTAGGAAAGTACGAAAAAGAGGTCTGGAGGAGGGGCGGGGAAGGGGAGTTGGGGTGACTTCACTGCGGAAAGGGGTGGATGTTGGACGGGGTGTCCCGGAGAAGGGAGTGTGAAGAGGGCGGGGCCCTCGGGAGGGGGGCTCTGAGAGGTGGGCCCTGGGGCCTGGGCACTGGACCTCTGGCAAGAGGAGGAATGGCAGGCCGGCTAAAAGGGGTGCGTGGCTGTGGGAGCTGCGGAAGAGCAACGGGAGTTCCCGGGGGCCGGCGGGGGTCGGGGGTCTAAGGATTTGGGGGGCGGGCAGCTGAGGTGCGGGACTTCGAGCAGGCCAGGTGAGGCAAAGGATGGAGGGCAGCGGGACTAAGTGTGAGCAGGGACAGGAACAGATGTTCCCGCGGCGGCCGCCGCCCACACCCCCGTGTGTCTCCGCCGGGACACTAAAGGAGATGGATGGGGTGCCAGAGACGCAGCGCGCGTGGCCCGGGGCTGCTCCGAGCTCCAGCGCCCCCGCTGCAGCGGAGGGGTCGCGCGGGGGCTCAGCCGCAGATAAAAGGGCTGTGAGGCAAGCCCGGCACAGGTGAGTCACGGCAGCAGCATGAGCACGGCAGACCCAAGTCACGCTGCGAGAGCAGCCCAAGACTCGCACCCGGGCCAGGCGGCGGTCGCCTTGGCTTACCAGCGCTTCGAGCCCCGCGCCTACCTCCGAAACAATTATGCGCCCCCGCGGGGGGACCTGAGCATCGCTGATGGCGTTGGACCTTGGAAGCTGCGCTGCTTGGCGCAGACCTTCGCCACCGGTGAGCGTGGGGAAACTGAGGCACAGAAGGCATCAAAGAGCTAAGGGGCCACACGAGAGAGCCAGATGGGGACCAAGGAAGGAGCAAGTAGTTAGGAGGTGAAAATAGAAGAGGAACAAGAGCAATATGAGAGAAACCAATGGGCAGGGGTGAGGAGGTGAGAGGAGTAACGATGCAGGAAAGAGATCAGGATCAAGAGAGATGCAGAGAAAGAAATGGAGACAGAGATGGGGAGAGAAGAGAGACCACTGGGAGAAACTGCCAGGCACCTCAGGGTTTCCCCACTTAACCCTCACTGGTAGGTGTCCTTTTGCAGTTGAGTTCCTTTCTCAAGGTAAGTTTGTAGATGTTGAAGCCAAGACTCAGACTCTGGTTAGCCCTACTCCAGGCCAATGCTTTTTCCAGACAGAGACACACAGAGGGAGAAAGAAGAGAGGGAGGAAGGGAGGGGGAAGCAGGTAAGGGAGGAGTAACGGAGGCAGGGGGCCACCTGGACAGGCCTGGCACCAGGACCCTCTTCCTGTGCCCTGTCCAGGTGAAGTGTCTGGGCACACCCTCATCGACATTGGTTCAGGCCCCACCATATACCAGCTGCTCAGTGCCTGCACCCACTTCAAGGACATCACCATGACAGACTTCCTGGAGGTGAACCGCCAGGAGCTGGGGCTCTGGCTGCGCAAAGAGCCCCAGGCCTTCGATTGGAGCACTTACAGCCAACACGTCTGCCTCATTGAGGGCAAGGGGTAAGGGCTAGGGGATGAGGGTCCAGCAGGGGCTTCCCATGGAGTGGCTGATGGGGACAGCAACAGAGGACTGAGCCTGGGGCAGCCCTGAGCCCTGGCCCTAATGCCATCTTCTGTCCCTGAACAGTGAGTCCTGGCAGGAGAAGGAGCACCAGCTGAGAGCTAGAGTGAAGCGGGTCCTCCCCATCGACGTGCACCAGCCCCAGCCCCTTGGTGCTGGGAACCTGGCTCCTCTGCCTGCTGATGCCCTGGTCTCTGCCTTCTGCCTGGAGGCAGTGAGCCCCGACTTTGCCAGCTTCCAGCGGGCCCTGGACCACATCACCACACTGCTAAGGCCTGGGGGGCACCTCCTCCTCATCGGGGCCCTGGAGGAGTCGTGGTACATGGCTGGGGAGGCCAAGCTAATGGTGGTGTCCCTGTGTGAGGAGGAGGTGAGGGAGGCCCTGGTGTGTAGCGGCTACAAGGTGCGGGACTTGCGCACCTACACCATGCCTGCCCACCTTCTAACAGGTGTAGATGATGTCAAGGGCATCTTCTTTGCCTGGGCCGAGAAGAAGGTCGGGGTGTGAGGCCCCAGCACCAGCGGCCCTCAGACACCCAGGCTCCCTATTCTGAGGTGGCTCCTAATAAAGAGATGTTGCTCCTGCCAAGTGTCAGTGCTGTCTGTGGCTCTCCTGGGAAGCAGCAAGGGCCCCGAGCTCTCTCTGGTGTTGTGGGGGTGTGGGAGGCACCAACCCTAGCCTTCTTTTCCGGAAGCCTTCACGAAAGTAGGTTTCTGTATCACTCATTTTTCCCAAACTAAGGAAAACTTAGGTCAGAGGGACCTCGATCAGCATCTGCTGTGTGCCAGGCACCTACTAGATCCACCAGTCCTCACACTCAGCAGCAGGTCCTGTTGTCCTGTTCACAGGTGAAGCTCAGAAAGGGTCGGACCATAGAGGAGGAGGGGGGCAGGGAATTGGGAGACTGAAGTGGAAATTGCAGGGGGCAGGGTTACAGTCCAGGGACAAACCAAGGCCCAGGGAAGTGAGAGAGCAAGAATAAGCTCCAGCTTCCTCCCCCAACTCCCCCACAAGCTCGCTGCTGCTCTGTATCTTGTCCCTGCCATTCCCGCCCCGCACCCCTAGGCAGAGACCCCACCTGTCTACTGCCTCCAGCCAGCAGTTTCCTCCTTCCCTCTAGCCCACCCTACTCACACAAATGCGCTGAACAAGGGGAGGTGAGGCTGAAAATTGGTTTATTAAGAAAGTCCCTTGATACCCTCCAACCTTAAAATAGTTCTCAGAATCAAAATAAATTAACATGGGCCACCCAAGTCCCTGCTGTTGGAGTCTAGCATAGTGCCCCTACCCCAGGGAGGGACAAGGCAGCAGGGAAAGAGCAAGAATCCAGACTTCCTGCTCCAATCAGAGAGACTGCCTTTGGATGGAAAGTTTCTGGAGCTCCACGTTCTATCCTTGTAGAGCAGGAATGGACAGGGACTGCCAGCAACCATCAGGGGTCACCTTTACCAGGGTACAGGCACAGCATGGCCCCTGCCAGCCACAGCCTTTCCCCTCCCCCCTCAGATTGCCTCTCCCCCTGCCCAGGATCCAGGCTCTGGCAAAGGGGCTTAGCAGGAAGGGCACTGGGGTGGGGGAGGAGACAGGGAGGCTGGAGGGACCTAGAGGAGCCCCATTTCCCTCCTCCCTCTGCCTACCAAAGGGCTGGTTCTAGAGGGTGATCTTGAATTGTGTGGGGTCCCTACATGGTTTGCAAGGGGGTGGGGCACAACAGACAAACAAATACACACACACACACACACACACACACACACATGCAACATGCAACCTGGACATCCATACCCCTAGCCAGATCTTGGGGATATCCTGGCTTTCTGCTAAGGCCAGGGCAGGGTGCAGAGTAAATGGTGCTCAGTAAATGGTTACTGATGGTAACTAATTCCCTCATCCTGTTCCAATCTCCCCTCACTGTGTGGCACACTCACCTGCACTCACACTCGTCTCATACTCAGTCCATGTATATTCCCCTAACCCGCACTAACCCGCCAACACACACACACACTTTATTTTTAATTTATTAATTTTGGAGAGAGAAAGATATTTGTTGTTCCACTTACTTATGCATTCATTGGTTGCTTCTTGTTGTATGTGTCCTAACTAGGATCAAACCCACAACCTTGGGGTATCAGGATGATGCTCTACTGGGGGTGGGGAACCTTTTTTCTGCATAAGGTCATTTGGGTATTTATAACATAATTCACGGGCCATACAAAATTATCAACTTAAAAATTAGCCTGCTGTGCCTGGACAGTGTGGCTCAGTGGCTGAGCGTCGACCCATGCACCAGGAGGTCACCAGTTCCATTTCCGGTCAGGACACATACCCAGGTTGTGGACCGAATCCCCAGTGGGGGCATGCAGGAGGTGGCCAACTGATGTTCTCTCTCATCATGTTTCTATCTCTCTCTCCCTCTCCATTCCTCTCTAAAAATCAATAAAGAAAAAAAAATTAGCCTGCAATATTTGGTCAGGCTAATTTGGTGAGGCGTGTGATATTAGCTGTTATTGATTTCGTGGGCCTTATATGGCCTGGCCCACGGGCCGGATGTTCCCCACCCCTGCAAAGCAACTGAACTACGCAGCCAGGGCTTAAGAACACACACACTTTAAAACCACTCACACTGCCCTGGCCAGTTTGGCTCAGTGGTTAGAGTGTTGGCCCTGGGTTATGGTTTGGTCCCTGGCCCTGGTTGGGGTCCTGTGGGAGGCAGCCAATTGTATTGATGTTTCTCATTCTCTCTCTTTTTTCTCCCTCCCTCCCTGCCTCCCTCCCTCCTTTCCTCCCTCCCTCCCACTCTATCTGAAGATAAATGGAAAAATATCTTTGGGTGAGGATTTAAAAAAATAAAAATAAAATAAAAGCACTCATACCCTCCCTTCCACTCTCCACAGTACACCAGTCCAGGGCTCACATACACTGTCCCACCCAGTATCCCATACACCCCAAGCCGGTGGCCACCACGTCACCGACACACTCAGTCTAGTCCACACTGTCTTACACACTTTTGTTCAGGCTCCCAACTGGAAAAGCAACATGGGTCAGGGAGATTTCTGTCCTGGGCTCTCTCGGGTCCAGGCCCCAAAGGGGGAGTGTGGTGAGGTCTCCTGGGGGTCTGGCTGGGGTAACAGTCAGAGTGAGCCTGCACCCCAGTCCCAACAGCTTAGTCTTTCAAGATCCCATTAGGGTGAAATGACACCCACCTTGAAACGTGGGCAGCCAAAGAGCAAGCATGTAGTGCCACCTAGTGGTCCCTGGAGGAGGGCACGGGGTAACAGAGGGGAACCCCACCACATCCAGGAAGGCCCGGTACTTGGCCTTCCAGCTAGCCAGAGGGCTCTGGGAACCACCGGGCAGTGAGGGGACTGAGGAGGTGACTGATGGGGAAGCAGAGGCAGCTCTCTTCTTGGTGGAGCCAAGAACACAGTTCTACCCCAGTTCAGGTCCGGAGCCAGAGGGCTGCCCATCCTCTAGCCTCAGAGCCTCAGAGGCCTGGACAGATGCCAAGACCTGTGCCGGCGATGTGGGACAAGCAGGGCAGTGGGCAAGTTACCTGATTCTGGGCCCACACCCTTCATGTCTTAAGTTCAAAAAATAAATCATCTCAAGGACTGGGAGAAGAGGAGCCAACAGGGAGGGGGCAGAATCTCCAAAAGGGCAGACCAGCTCCCAGGGCCTTCAGTCCAGCTTGCCCGTGGCCTTTGATTCCTTCAGCAGGTACAGGCTGTCCTCTTCCAGGAAGCTGTGAGCAGAGGAAGGCACTGACAACTAGCTCTAAGAGCGCCCCCTGGGGGCGGGGTGGGGTGAGTGCAGGCATGCTGGCAGAGGTGAAGCAGGGGAGAACTGTCTTCCCTACAGAACAGGCGAGGAAGGGCACAAGGAAGGTGAGCCCTGGGCAGGGAGTAGTACTCACCGGAAAAAGAGGACATGGACAGGGATGGTGCTGATGTGCCAGATGGCGTGGGCGTCCAGGATCCAGAAGAGAGGGGGGAAATCCAGCAGTTCGAGCAGGGACAGCCCCTGCAGCAGCAGGACGACTGCCATGCACTTGCGTACGTGAGGCAGCTGCTGCTGGTTCCACAAACACCAAGCCAGCCACCACACCAAGTTCACCAGGCCTGGGGGTGGGTGGAAGTGGGAGAGGCTCATTCCCTGGACCTCCTTCTCCTCCCCTCCCACAAAGCTTCCCCTATCCCCATGCTCTTTGACACCAGGATCACCTCAAATTCTCCTCCTAATCTCCTTTCTCTTATACCCCAAATCTTTTCCCTTCTCCCATCCAAGGATCTCTCCCACCTCCACCCCAAGCCAGCAGTTCTGCAGCTGTCGTCCCTGCCCCAGGGCCTCAGTCCTGACTCACCAATTGCCACATTGGCTGCCAGGTTGTAGCCATAGTCAAAGCGGACGAGGCTCAGGTAGGAGACGTGCGCAGTCAGCATTAGCAGCAGGAGAGCCCGGAAGGCACTGGCCACATTTGGGCGCTGCAGCCCCACAGTCCTGCCCCACAATCCAGAGCTGCTCAGGTGGAGGGTGGCCCATCCCCAACAGCATTCCCTGAGACATCCCCTCACCCCAACGTCAGTACATGGAAGCCACTGTTCCTCTCCCCCACCAACAGGCCAGATGGGCAGGCCTCCAATGCTCCCCGGGGTCTGGGACCAAGGGCTACATCTCCTTGGGAAGAACCAGGGCCCCAAGTCCTATCCCAGGTGGCTGGGTGACCTCTTTCTGCCCCCCGGGCCTGATTTTGCCCCTGCAGCCAAAGTGGGCTCACCTGACACAGCACAGATAGATGGAGTGCAGGATGACAGTGGAGGCACAGAAGTAGTCCATTTTCTGAGGACAGGGAGAGTTGGATGAGGGGCCAGTGGGAGGGGAGTAGGAGGTGGGCAGGCTTTATGGAGAGCAGGGCCCAGAGAGGACCCAGAAGGGATGGGGACCCAGCAGGGATGGGGACAAGGAGGGTGGCAGAGGCACAATGGAGTCTGAGGCCTATGATCAGCAGGGTTGGTGTCTCCTGCTTCTTCTGCCTATTGCTGTTTCACTTCTAAATTGAACAGACTGAACCTCGTATTCACATAATTTTTAAACACTGGGCTCAAACAGTGAAGTTTTAGAGGTATTGGTGGAGGGAGCCTGTCAAGACTCGAGAACATCAAAGCCGGCCCTAGAATTCAGAGCCAGTCAGAGTTCCACAGCTGTGGGCTCCAACCCTCACTGCACCCCTTTACCGGCTGGGTGATCCTGAGCAAGTGATTTCGCCTTTCTAAGGCTCGGCTGCCTCATCAGTCAAGAAGAGCCAAGAACAATCACACCTACCTCACAAGGGGTAAGTGAGGCTCAGGTGCACTAACAGGTTTCCAGGGCCCAGCAGCGCAAGTGCTCCCTAAACAGAGTCAGCACGAGACCCAAGACTGGCTCTGCCCGCCCCTCAGGGAGCAGAAGAGGGAGGGGGTGCTCACCTCTGTGAGGTCCGTGTCCTTGGTGTGGAAGACTGTGGACCAGAACCAAGCATTGAGGGAGACCTGAGGAGGGAGGTGGCTGCTGAGTGTGGCACCCCATGGTGGGAAAGACCCCCGAGGGTTCACACCTGTCTCACTTTTGGGAGGAGGCTCTTCGGAGCAGAGAAACATGCCTCCCCTTGCTCCTGGAGCCCACCAACCAAACAAATCTCTGCCCCTCCACCTCACCCAACCCAGCTCCCTTAGGCTCAGCTTCCCACCACCCTGAACCCTCAAAGTGGGTGGGAGGCTCGAAGCCTCCACAGGTTTCTGGCCTGGGAACCATTTCTGGCCAAGTCAAATTCCCTGATTACTCAATCTTAAGACAACAGTCCCTGGGGGGGCCTCGCCTCCTTCCCCAACTGGCAGGTGATGACAGCCCCACCTGGGCCAGGGGAACCAGTGACCTCAGCCTCTGGGGGCGGGAATGAAGTGGGTGGGGTGGAGGGGCTCGAGCCAGCTTGGGGTGTGTCTGGAACAAGCAAGCAAGAGAGGGAGATCAAGCAGATCCCAACGGGGCCAAGTCTCTGAGGAGGAGGAGGAGGCTCCACTGACTGAGCCCAGCTTCCTCCTGGCTGGGCCGGCCCAACCCGCCAGACCAGTGGCTGCTGCCTGCTCCGAGCTCTGGGAGAAGCAGAGGAGCAGGACTGGAGGGGCTGTGGTGGGCAAGGGCCCAAGGGAGTAGTGGATGCCTTCTTCCCAGAAAATAACTGCAAGAAGAGTACACGTCCTCTTGCAAATGAGCCCTAGATCTTGCAGGGTTGGAGCCCTAGATCTTGCAGGGTTGGTGCTGGCACTTCTTTTACGGACTGCGGTGGTTTTCACACAGAGGCCCACATTACTGTAAGAAGGGTGGACTGGGGTGGAGGCACGTACATGGGCTGGGCGGAAGGGCTGGGAAACCAGTGACAACTAGTAAAAGGAAGAAACTGCCAGCCCGGATGCCCTGGAGGTAGGGAGGGATGTGCTAGGGTGGGACAACCCTGCCAGAGATGGGGAAAGGCCAAGAGCGGCTCACTTGGGTCCAGTACACAAGGAAAACTGGCCAGGCAGGGACCAAGGGGCAGGGAAACAAGCCACTCTCTATCAGGTACTGCAGCAGGAAGCTCAGACAGTAGGGTGAGTCCCTCATGCAGGCCCGAGGGGGCTTCTGAGAGAATGGGAAGGGCACTGGGAAGGGGGCCAGCAAGACTCCCCTTGCAAAGCGAGTCAGCCGGAAGTCTCTGGAGGCTCCTGTGCAAGCTTGTCTGGCCTGGGTCCTGGGCTGAGTCTTGCTGCTTATGCTCCTCAAGACCCGGGCAAAGGTCGAGCTTCCCCCTGGGACAGAGCAGGCTGGCCTAAGTGCTCCCTCATCCCTTTCCAGCCCTGGTGTCAGGCGATCATTCTGGGTCAGGTTGTTTCCCTCTCAGGAAGGCCTCCCTGTCCCTCCCTGTGCTGCCCCTCCCCAGAGCCGGTAATGGAGGCATGGTCTGGAGGCTAGAAAGTGGGGCAGCACAGTGTGGCTTCTTGGACACTGCTCCCGTGCTCAGAGTCAGCACGGGAGAGGAGTGGGCTCAGAGCTGGGGACCCAGGTGATTACACGGGCCGGGTCTCCTAGGCAGGCCTGGAACGGGGACAGCCCTGGGGAGAATAGCCCTGGAACCCGTGTGAGAGGGGGTGGAGGGAAAGACAGAAGGGACTGGAAGCCAGCCAGTCCTCCTTGTCATCTGGCAGGATGGGGGAGGTGACAAAAGACTGAGCTAAGTGGTGGCTGGAACACTGAAGGCAGGGGAGGGGGTTGCACAGGGCCAGGGCTTAGCTGTAGAGGACAGGGGCGAAGGCTCTTGGTCCTCTGTTCAAATGCCTCTGCACCCCTGAAAAGTCCCCTCTCCAGTGGGCAGTATCCCATTATGGGGGCTCCTCTTCTGACCCTCTCCTCAGACCTGGTAGATGTATCATTAAGAATGTAGGCCCTGCCCTGCCAGTTTTGCTCAGTGGTTAGAGCGTCGGCCCGCAGACTGGAGAGTCCTGGGTTCGGTTCCCACTAAGGGCACGTATCTCAGTTGCAGTTTGTCCCCGGCCCCGGCTGGGGTTGTGTGGGTGGCAGCCAGTTGATGTGTGTCTCTCACAATAATGTTTCTCTCTCTCTCTCTTCCTCCTTTTCTCCCTCCTGCTCTATCTGAAGATACATGCAAAAAAGTCCTTGGGTGAGAATAAAAAAAAAAAAAAAAAAAAAAAGAATGTAGGCCCTAGGGCCAGACTGCCAGAGTTCACATTCCAGCTCAGCATTTCCTGTACCTTTGGGCAGGTTATTTAGCCTGGCTGGGCCTCAGTTTTCTCATCTGTAAAATGCAAATAGCCACAGTGTTGATAAGGATTTAAGGAGTAACACAGGTACAGTATAAAGCCCAGTACACAGGACAGGGTAAAACATTAGGGGTTATTTCTCCCCATCCAGTTGACCAGCATGGAACCCTCACACCCCTCCACAGACCTGAGAGGCCAAGTCTGCCTCCCACTCTCCCTACAGGCCAAGGAAGTCTAGGTGGAGAAGAGGCGGTCCCCCCACAGCTGCCCAGGCCCATCCCACAGTCCCAGGCTGGGAACAGAATGTCGGAGCCTTTACAAAAAAATCGTCTCTTGGTTCAAGTTCTGACTTAGCTCCTAAATAGCTGTGTGATCTTGAGCAAATAACAGCTTCTCTGTGCCTTAGATGCCTCACCTAAAAACAGGATTAATAATAGTATTCACTGCCTGAGAGGGTTATGAGGACGATGTTCGAGAAATGCCTGGCATAAAGAAGCCACTCAAGCCCAGCCAGTGTGGCTCAGTGGAGTGAGCATCGTCCCATGGACTGAGAGGTCCCGGTTCGATTCCTGGTCAGGGCACATGCCCCTGTTGTGGGCTCGATTCCCAGTAGGAAGTGTGCAGAAGGCAGCTGATTGATGTTTCTCTCTCACATCAATGTTTTATCTCTCTCTCCGTCTCTAAAAATCAATAAAAACATATTTTAAAAAAAGAAGCCACTCAATAAATGGTTGCTGTTACTACCACCTGGTATACAGCAGGTGCCACATAAATGTCCGTTTCCTTCATCATGTCCAGCAAGCTGACCCCGCACTATTTCTCTTTACCTGACCCCACCTTCCTCCTCCTTAAGGGTCACATCGTACCAGGTCAAACCATGGGTCTCTTGATCCCAGAACACAAGACACCTCTGCTGTAGGAAAAGCCCCCTCCTCCTGGCTCCTGAGCTACTATTCCACCAGGAGGCACTGAAGAGATACTAGTTCCCCTCACTCGGTTTGTAATCAAGACTGAAGAGAAGTGGACAGAAGGACGTTGAAGGAAAAGCCCCCAAGATGCAAGTGAGCTCTGCTCCTGGCCTCCCCGGCCAAGCTTGAGTGGAATGGGGAGGCAGACGGAGTAACTGGCCAATCGGACAGACCAGGAGGATGATAGGCTGGCCCCGCAGGCACCCAGGGCTTCTTGTAAACACTGAGGAAAGGGGGAGGCCAGGGGCAGGGTGCCAGTGAGGGGAGAAATGAAGGGGACAGGGAAGGCTGGGAGGAGGGACAGCAGGAGGCTCTTTCAGTCTGTTGGAAAATAGGAAAATTGAGACAAAAATATCACAGCCGTGAAACTGGTTGGATGCCAACTGAGACAGATCTGTTAGGAATTCGACCCCTGTGCTAAGCCCCAGTACTCGGGGCTGTCACTGACACCGTGGCGGTGGGGACAAGTGGGTCTTTAAATAGCTTGGTGTCTCAGAAGTGGGGGAGGCAGAATGTTAAATATGACGCCTGCTGCCACTCTGCCCCCCCCCCCCCAGGCCATGGTGTATCACCCCCTGCCTCACGCAGGGCAAGTCTGCCCCAGGTCTTGAGAGAGATGGGAGGAGGTGGGATTTTTATACCAGCCAAAGGATTCTTTGATTTCCTGCCATTGCCTGTTTCACTGGCTTTTGTCTGACTAGGGAGTCCTTCCTGAAGTCTCAGCATCATCCTGCAGCCCTTCTTGGGTTTCCTCAGCAGGGGCAGTGCAGGCAGTCCCCACCCCCACAAATGGTCCTGCAGAGATGGCAGGGGCTTTCCTGGCCCCTCACGCTCACTTCCACCCTTGAGGACCTTTCCTCCTGAGTGAAGGGCAGGGAACTGGTTTGGCCTCCTGGCTCTGGCAAAGAGCAGAGGCTCCTAGTTCGTGAAGTCAAAGGTCCATGGTGTACAGAACTGTGGTGGGCACCCCCAAAGCCTGCGTGCTGCCCAGCCCGAGCTCAGACCTAAATCTCACAGCTTCATCAGCCCTGCTGGGGGCAGGGTCTCCTCATTTCCTGAAAGCAGAAACTGAGACCCCCTCCCCCCAAGATCTAACCTGGAGCAGGTGAAGTGCCTTCCTACCCCACCCCAACAGAAATCAGGAGCCCCACTGCTCCAGAACACCCAGCCCAGGACAAAGTCCACTGCCACACCCTCCAAACAGGCAGGATCCTTCCCTCCTGCAAACACACACAGGATGAAAGAGCAAATGTATAATCCAACTGGATCATCTAAGGGAGCATGGATGCTGAGACTCTGTCCCTCAAAGGCCTAGTAGTGACATGAGGGGGTTCCATGTCGCGAACACCACATCCTGTAGGGTGCCCTAAAACACAGGCCCCAGCATCTGCCTCTCCCAACCTAACAGCTCCTGCTCTGTCCCTGAGGGTCCTCGGATACCTCTTGGACACCCACCAAGAAGGAAGCCGAGTGTCAGATGACGGTGACACGAAAGATCCAAGAATCCGGGAGATGAAGACAAGAGTCGTGAAATGACCACTGGCTTCTGACACGTGGCATGAAAACAAGCTGGGACCCTCTGAGGCCCGCTCAGACCCTCAGGTCTATCCATGGAGGCTCTGAGCTCATTCAGAGAGCTCATGCAGGGCTGTCCTGTGCTCTCTGTTAGGGGCGAGGGCCAGGGGGCGGTATAGGAAGTGGGCCCAGACAAGCAGTGTCCCTGGAGGAACACCAAGGGAAAGGGGACAGGTGTACCCTCCTCAATTTCCTTGCTCTTCCTGCTTTCTTAGCCAGGACCATATCCCCCTTTCTTCTAGAGGCCTGTAGAGGAAATGGTGGCACTAGCCCACCAGGGCCTGTGACAGTGTGTGCTGATGCCAGGCCCCTGCCTCCACAACAGCCCCTGCCCTTCAGGCTGGCACCCGGGGGCCCTCTCTGCTCCATCGTCCCTGCCTCTACTCCCATTCACACAGCACGCAGTGGCCAGGCTGCCTGGTGAAGCCCAACACTCTCCAGCTTCTATACCTTTGTTCCTGCTGTGCCCCCAGCCTAGAATGCCGGAACCCAACCTCCTCTTCCCCCGTGTGAACATGTCTAAGCCTGACCAGGCCTGCAAGTCCCAGGTGAAGCCTCTCCTCCCTGGGCTTCCCTGACAGACTTCTTCACATGGCCTCCTCATGGCATGACTCCCAGGCTCTCTACCCGAGCCCTGCTCCGCTCTGCCTGCACTCTGCCTCCCAACCTGGCTGGACCCGCACCTCCCACTGGGCTCAGATGGAACATTTCGGCTTCTCCCTGGATGGTCTAAGACCAGGCTGAGCCCTAGATGGAATGCTGTGGCTGCCTCTGCTCCTAGGCCGGGGCTAGGGCGGAGATTGCTTCAGGTTCTCCGGAGGGGCCCTTGGAAAGACCTGTGGTTTCAGCATGCTCCCTACCACCCATCTCCCTGCTATGTTTGTAAAGTGCCCTATTGGGGCTTTCAGTGACTTCCTCCATTAGGCAAGAACAATGTTTCCTTCCTCTCTCCCTTCTTCCCAAACAGCCTGGCCTAGGACTCTGCTAGAAAGATAAGGCCTGAGTCAGCACCATCCCTTTTGTCTTCCCAGGACTGAAACTGTAATGTTAGTCCTGGAAAACAGGGGGAAGCTCGGTGGGGGGAAGCCCTGTAGCATGCGTGGGGATCTCAGAGCTCCTCTTTTCTAGATAAGGGTGTGAAGTAGGAATCCTGCCAGGTTACCTACCCCGGCAAAGGCCATGCAGGTGGGGTACATAGGAGAAGAGGCTGGCACGAAGGTGCGGTAGCGGCAGAGCATCACCAGGCTGGCCAGGCCATTGAGGAAGGAGGCCACAGCAGAAGCTGGCTCTTGGAAGAACAGGAACCGGGAGAAGGGCCACTGAAAAAGGAACACATAGAGGGCACCTGAGGGGCAAGCAACCCCCAGCTGGCCCAACCTATCTTTTCTTGACTGGCTGCATCAACAGCTCTAGACTTGGCCAAAGCCTCAGGTTCGGTCCCTCTTCGAGTCAGTGAGCTCCCCTCCTGCCCCTGGCTGAGGGTCATCCCTCTATCCTGGTCAGCACTCAGCACTGTAAGCCTGGTCTCTGGGAAGACCAGATGGGCCAGTGTAGATGGTTCAGTGTGGCCTCGTGGAAACAGCACAGACCTGCCATCCAGAAGACAGGTCCTAATCCCTCCTCTGCCACTGACCACAGCACTCTGAGCCTTCGCTTACTCTGTGACAAAGTGGGGAGAATAATTCTTGCCAATAACAGGCTGGAACAAGATCATTATTGGATCAAAAGGCACCAGCAAACTGTTCCTCACTAAGCAATCTGAGGGATATTTCTATTTGAATCCAGACTCCTACTGAAGTAACAACAAAGATGCTGTGGTGGGTCAGGGAATTTGTCCTTGTAGCAGGGTAGGCATCCAATAACCCTAAGCTCAGTACCACTCTCTGAGGAGACCCTAGATCTTACTCCAAATCCAGAGGTAGAACACATTGGTCCCATCTGATCTCCATGTGAAAACCAGCAGGTTTTGAGAAGAACAGGCACCTGTACCAAATACACTCATTACTCTGCACTTCAGACTGTGTGGTCCCGCTGGGGGGTATCTTACTCCTGCCACACTACCACCATCTACCTACCCTGACCCTCCAACTCACCTTGCCATGGAACTGAGGCACTTCTTGACCTTCTTGGAGGTAGAGGCCAACGGTGACCCACATACACTCATACTTACAGTCATCCTGACAGGTCCAGCCTGAAACAGATAAATTGGCCTAGTGAACTACCCAGTATGGGAGGCAGACAGAGAGAGAGCTTGAATGGGGCCTAAACTTGAACACAGGCCAACAGGGCCTGTAGGTTGAAGAGAACCAGAAGAAATCTCAAATTCTAGTTTCTCACTTGGATGAGTAAGAGATGGTAGGACATACACATAAAGGAAAGGTGTATGTGTGTGTTCTAGGGGGTGGATGTGTATAGTGAGCAAACAGAGATGTTTCTTCTCCTTTCACCCAAGGCGAGGATCTTGGCATCTAATGGACTCATCTATGGATATCTGGGTTTGTTTGCCTTTCCTGAACATAGGATTTTTTTTCTCACTCACCAGGGAGGAACACTTGCTATCTTATCCCCCTCCTATAAAGTCCAAATTCTTCAGTCAGACTTTTAAGGCCCTCAGTTGTCTTTCCAACTTTATTTCACAATATTCCTTTTCATGCACCCTGCTCCCTGAGTAAACTAAGCCTCTCGATGTGCCCACATCTTCCCAGGGCCTCCACTCCCTGTTCCCTCTGTCTAGACTGCAAAGGGATAGTAAAGAGAACAAACCTGTAATCAAAAAAGCCAGAACTGGAAACTCTACATTATTATTTACTGGCTGTGTGACTTTGGGCAGGGCACGTAACCTCTCTGAGTTCCTTATCAGTGAAATAGGAATCTAACTCAAAGGGTTATTAAAATGGACTGTTTTGACATATGTCACACAGAAGGTGCCCACTATGGCCGCAGGTCCAAATTTAACGAATCCATCTGGAAGCCTATCTTTCTCAAAATGTTCCAAGATCGCTGCCCCCAAACCCTCAAAACTAGAAACAATTCCTTTCTCCTTTATATGCTCCTATTGCTTAATCTAAGGATCATTTGGGGCTCGAATCTTCCTCCACCTTCACTTAGAAGGTTCATGTCCCCATGGGGACTGAGCACCGAAGGGCAGGACCCTGGTCTGGTTTCAGCGTCATTCTAGGGCCCTGCACCCAGGAGTATTACATAAATTTAACCAACTAAATAAAAAGTAAATGTAAGTTTCTGGGAAAATCAAACTAGCTGATGGGCCTCTCATACCCTGGGACTCCACTCACAATGGATCAGATCCTGGGTGGGAAACTAAGGTTCTGAGATTGTAGAGGTATTTGGGGCGAAAGAGGCGCGGCCAAGACCAGGGGCGGGGCTCCAGAGGGCGGGGCTACTAGGGGTGGGGCTTACCTGCTAGACTCATGTAGATTGGCTGGCGGGAGCGGAAGTGCTTCAGTGCGTCTCCTGAGCAGTTCCGCCCCTCGCACCGGCGTACGCAGTCGCGGTACACCGGCTCGCGGTCGCCCTGGGAACCGCTGGCTAGCGCGGCCGCCCCGGCCAGCAGCACCAGCCGCGCGGTCTGCCCGGCCATCCTTCACGTTGGCCCTCCGCCGGCGGAGAAGCTTAGGAGTCTTCACATCCGGAGTAACCGGAAGTACCTTGGTTTTCGTAGTTTCTCCGCTGACGTCTACTTCGTTTAAATAAAAAGTACCCGGATTTTCGTGGGCGTCAGCCCCGCCCCTTGTTTTACTGTCAGCTCCATATATACAGGCTAAAGGGTTAAGGGAAGGAGAGCACTAGGTGGATTAAGGCGCAAAATAAAGTGGTCTTTTATCAACATCCGTCTTGTTTCTTCCCCAGGGTCTCTATTTGAGGTAGGGCTATTTTTCTGTCAGCAGCCTTGCTGGAGTTACTTCCTAGTATACCTGGAACTGTCCATTCCTCCATCTCCTCTGGCACCACCACCCTGATTACAGACCATCTGTCGCCAAGACAGCTCAGTAGCCTCTTAACGAGTCTCCCTGCCTCTTCTTTCGCTCCCTCCAGTCCGCGCTCCAGTTCCAAAAATTCAAATTTGACCATGTCACTTTCCTTTTTTTAAAAAAAATGTTTTTTTCTTTATTGATTTTAAAGAGAGAGGAAGGGAGAGGGAGAGAGAGGTGGAAACATAGATGAGAGAGAACATCAATTGGCCGCCTCCTGCATGCCCCCCCACTGGGGATCGGGCCCACAACCTGGGCATGTGCCCCGACAGGGAATCCAGGGAATCGATCTGGTGACCTCCTGGTACTTGGGTCCATGCTCAACCACTGAGCCACACCGGCTGGGATCCTTCTTAAAATTCTTTACTGGCCTCCAACTACCTCAGGGTAAAATAACTCCACAAGCCCTGCATGATTTGGCCCCTGCCCCAGACCTACCTCAAGGGGCCATATCTCTCCAGCCTCCTGGCTTTGTCTAGTCTGTATCACTCTTACTCTCCTTTTTATTCTTCTAGTCTCAATTCAAACAGCACTTCTGAGGGTGATAACACGTGAAAGGTGCTATTACATACAGTGGTCTGTTTCCCCAGGCAGGGTGGTGACCTCTGCTGTCCTGTTTACCACTCTACTTCCAACAGTAATACATAATTTGGCTCCTGGTAGGCGCTAAGAACGTGGTGTTGTTTGTTTTTTAAAAGAATGAACAATGTAATTAAACATAAAACTTTAGGTTGTCAAATCACCAGCATGTTTCAGACCATGCTAAAAGTAGAAGTGTAATATTCCAAGGAAAATTAAGAGGAGGACCTTTAGGAATAGAACACTTGCTTTAATATTCCCCCCTCCTGAACTACTGCCAACACACACACACACACACACACACACCCATCTCATTGAAGCATGGAAGCCTCTTAGATGCATAATTAATACATGTAGATTAATGACTTTCCTCCTCCCCCACTCTCTTCACCCCAGTCAACTTTTCCTTTATATCTTGAGAGGTGAAATGAGCAGGAAGTAAAATTGGATTTTGTTCATTTACATATTAAGCAAACATTTCCTGAGCCCTTAGCTCACGTCGATGTTTCTCTCATGAAAGGTAATGCACAACTCCAGAAGGCACCATTCATATTGTATTTGTATAGTGTCTCCTGGAGTCTGAGCACTGGTTGTTACTGGTTGGGAAGCTGAAATAAACAAAACAACCCCTCAGCCCCTCCAGGAGTGGATCAGAAGCAATCAGGTGCTAATTGTACTTTGCATCTTCTAGGTCAGTCCTTTTATAATATATATATATATATATTTTGTCCTTAATATAACTCTAGGATGAATGTTTGTATGAGGATATGTAGGATTAAAGAGGATGAGGTCCTCACAAAGCAAGATTCTCCCTTTGGGAGAACTTCAAGTTAGCTATAAGGCTTTTAAAAACCACTTTCAAATTTCCAATTTTAGAGATATTGTATCATTCTACATTATATCAAACATATTAATATAATGTGGCAATACCCCACATTAAATAAAACATATATAGTTGAGTTGCTGTTAATAGTTGACATATTGTTATATTTTGTATACATTTAATAAAATATTAATTACTTTTTATATTTTTCTTATGTTTTGGAGCTAATATTAAAAATTAGGTCGCCCTGGCTGGTTTGACTCAGCAGTTAGACCATCAGCCTGCAGACCAATGAATCTTGGGTTGAATTCCAGCCAAGAGCATGTTGCCTAGGTTGTGGTTTGTCCCTGGCCCTGGTCAGGGTTGTGCAGGAGGCAACCAGTGGGTGTGTCGCTCACGTCGATTTTTCTCTCTCTCTCCCTCCCTCTGCCTCCCTTCCACTCTATCTGAAGATAAATAGAAAAATATCCTTGGCTGAGGATTAAAAAATAAATTAGGGCCTGCTCTCCCTCCCAGGAGCAGGTCCATGCCTCCTCCCACCCCAACACTCTCTTCCCCCACAGGCATGCATCTCTTAAACTCTAAGCGACCCCACAAGTCTTGCAACCAGGGGAGAAATGGGCAGTGGCAATTCATCCCAAATAAACCCCCTGAACCTGTCCCTAAGGTACCCTTTTCTCTGACTTCTTAGTGAGCCAAAGCAGACCAGCCTAGGCTCATTTCCCCAGCCCTTCCTTGTTTCACTGTCCCCAATTTTAAGAAATGTCCTCTAAAATTAAAAAAAAAAATTAGTTCAGGTCTTAAACATTTCATAGGTTCTTGAAAACTCATGCCTATATGCCTGATGGAGAAAACAATCCAAGGGTCAGATGGAGGGAGATCGTGGAGACTTGTGTCATGTTGTTCTGGTGGGAGATGGGCTATTGTCTCTCTAGGACATCTCTTGTGGGTTTTCCCTCTCAGCATAACCCTACATCTCTAGACAATTACAGGGCCTCTTCCTCTCCCAGCTTTTCAGTCCAGGGCCACCTCTTCCCCACTGAGCCCCCTTAGCTTGTGTTCGGTTTCCTATGTGAGTCACAGCCTTCAAAGTCATGGATTTATTCCTTCAAGTCAGGCATATTGAACCCTACTGGGTGTTAGCCATTGCACACACACACACACACACACACACACACACACACAAAAGAAAGATGAATCATAAATTATTCCCAGTCTAGGGAGGAGAAAGAAAGACAAAGCAAACAGTTTAGTGTGCTGAAGGCTCATAGGCAAACTGACTATATTCTTAGAACAAAAACTGGGAACAGTCTACAATAAGGGTTCTTCTTTTATTTTTTTATCCTCACATGAGGACATTTTTACATTCATCTTCAGAAAGAGCGGGAGGGAGAGAGGGAGGAAGAGAGAGAGAGAGAGAGACATCGATGTGTTTAGACAGACACATCGAGTGGCTGCCACCCACACAACCCCAATCGGGGTTGAGGACAAACTGCAACCGAGGTAAGTGCCCTTAATAGGAACCGAACCCGTGTCTCTCTGGTCCTTGGGCCAATGCTCTAACCGCTGAGCAAACCTGGCCAGGGCTACAATAAGGGTTCTTTGTTAGTCAAATATTTATTGCAGTTTACCATTGTGTGAGGCTCTGAAGACAGAGTGATGAAGAAGGCACTGTCCTCATGGTCAGAGAAGGGAGACAGACAATAAACAAGTATCAAATGAAAGACTAAGATAATTTTACTGCTAATGTAAGAGCACATTGGTATGATCACTATGTAGTATAATTCACCACTATCAGACTATAATTTATACATAACCTTAATCTAGCAATTTGCACAAACCTTCTAACCAGCAATTTTTCTCCTTGGTATATCTACTCAAGTGCAAAATGATGTGAGTAAAAAACTATTCATGGCAACATTGTTATTTTCAATAGAAAAAGAAAAGGAAACAACTAAATGTACATGAATAAAGAATGAATTACATTAATTGAGAGATCCATACAATTACAGTGGAATGCTGAACAAAAATTAGTAGGAATGGAGCAGATTTGTAATGTACTGACATGGAAAACCTTCATATTCTTGGTAAGAATGAAAAGTGGGATGTAGAACTGTGTGTGTGTGTGTGTGTGTGTGTGTGTGTGTAGATGTTACTTCATGTGAAGAAAAATAAGAGTCTATACTATGTTATTTTGGAGAATATATCTAGAAAGACATTAGAAATTGGAAATACTTATTGCATTTGGACACAAGTAAAACTGTCTGGGTGATAGGGAAGTGAGGGACACTTTATTCTTGTACCTTTTAAACATTGTACCATCTGGCCCTGGCCGGTTTGGCTCAGCGGTTCGGTTGCAGTTTGTCCCCGGCCCTGGTTGGTCGTGCGGGTGGCAGCCACTCGATGTGTCCCTTCACGTCGATGTTTCTCTCTCTCTCTCCCTTCCTCTCTCTCCCTCCCACTCTATCTGTACAAAAAATGGAAAAATATCCTCGGGTGAGGATAAAAACAAAACAAATAAACATTGTACCATCTGTATATACCATCAATTAAAAACAAAGAAAAATGTTAAGAGAACAATTTCATATAGTCACAAGTGTTGAGTTATATAACTGGATAAAGTAATAGTGAGGGAGAGGAAGTAAGGGAATGGGGAGGGAAGGAGATGCCTTTTTGAGAAAGTGACATTTGAACTGAAACCTGCATGACCAGAAGGAACTGGCTCTGTGAACACCTCAGGGCAGATTGTTCTAAGCTGAGAGAATGGCCAGTGCAATGGCCCTAAGGCAGAAACAAACTTGGCATCTTTGAAAAACAAAAAAGAAGGTCAAGGTGAAAGTTTTAGGCAAAGGGAAGCCATTGGGAGGTGTTTTAGCACTGGAATAAAGTGATCTTATTTTTATTTAAAACATATACTTTGACTTGTGGCAAAGAGAAGGGGTGGGGAGGACTGAAAGGGGACAAGAGCTGCACTGGGAGTTTTACTTGTGTCCCAGCTCTTGCTTCCCCCAGGGATGACTGAGAGCCCTTTAGACTAGCAGGTGGTGGTGGCCAGAAAGGTGTAGGTGTATTGGAAGAGGAATTGATAGGTCTTAAAGGATTGGCTGTTAAGGGCAAGAAAAATAGGAATAAACAATGTGGGTTCAGTGAATAAAATTATTTGAAACTAGAATTGTTCCTCCAAATCAGGTCTTCACGATTGCCATAGTTTT